AATCTCCCCTCCCCCTACCGCATCCCAAAACCAGTCCAGCTCGTCCCCGCCTCCCTAACCTGTTCTTCCTCCCACCTATCCCCTCCTCCCACCTCAAGCCGCACCTCCATCTCCTACCGACCAACCTCATCCCGCCCCCTTGACCTGTCCGTCCTCTCTGGACTGACCTATCCCCTTCCTAACTCCCTACCTACACTCACCTTTACTGGCTCCATCCCCGCCTCTTCGACCTGTTTGTTTCCTCTCCATCTATCCTCTCCTCTATCCCTCTTCTATCCGCCTCCCACTCTCTCCCTCTTTATTTCAGAACCCCGTTCCCCTCCCCCTTTTCTGATGAAGGGTCTAGGCCCGAAACGTCAGCCTCTCTGCTCCTATGGTGCTGCTTGGCCTGCTGTGTTCATCCAGCCCTGCACCTTGTTGTCTCGGATTCTCCAGCATCTGCAGTTCCTACTATCTCTGAGAGAGAGAGACTTCAGGTTGATACTTAGACAACTACAGGCTGTAACACAGGAAGATAAAATCAATAAGGTGTAAATAGTGTGAAAATAGGTTTCCACTAGAGGAACAACTGCAGAGTTATATTCTATTGATTAACATATCCAAGAATTGGCAGGAAGTAAATTAATTGCACTGTGAAGATAATTTATTCATGTATTTCATGTGAAATAAAACATGAGACATTGTAGGGGCACAGTGTTGAGAGAGTGGGCACATAAAAAAAATTAATGGACCAGAACTGAATGGCAGTTAAAGGGGGAGAAAACAAAATAGATTGGAAAAGGAAATCAGGCTGACATGAACTGATAGAAATGGGACAGAAGCCAGATTGAGATCCGTGCAGGGCCTAAGGAAAATTTTACAGGAACAAAGAAAGACCGACTCCTGAAGTGATGAGCAAAGCCAAGTGCCACTATTTTAAAATGAAAATATTCAGTTTGTTTTTTCTATACACTGAAAGCATGTAGGCAGTTTCCAGTTGGCGTGTGAGTAAATTTGGTTTAAGATTCAGGTGGATAACACTTGCCAGAAGTCTAGAAAAGATAATGCTACAAATTGAGGAAAACAGTAAAGAATAAAAGACATTGTGTGGAAACAGCTGGATATTTCAGATGGGAGATAAGATTACAGCCTCATGGAGAGAGTGGGAATAGAGAGGGAGACACCCCATTTCAGCAGAGTGAACTACTGATCTTTGACCCTGCCCCCTCCCCCTCTGTCCTCCGTGCCTTCTGCACCTTCCCTTCCCCTCTGTCCACTCTTTCCCCTCTGCCCCTTCTCCTGAACTGAAGCTCAAAATGAGACCCAGGAAGCCCACAGATGACTAATCATTGGCCGCATGAAGGCTTCAATTCAGGCAAGGGACAGTGGGCCACCATAAGATTGGCGCAGGAGCAGATGGGAGGATGCTGGGAGAGTCTGTCAGGAGATTTTGTGGGCCTTACCTGCAAATTTGCTGGCAGGAGAGTGTAACATTCTGCCCCATAAAGAAAAGCTAACAGGACAGAGGATGGAAAATCCCCACCAAAAAAAAGCAAAAAGTCGTATACAAATTAATACAGAGACCAGAGTGTTTAAAATGTATATGATGAGAGAGAGACATAGATAGATGGAAAGAGGGAAGATAAAAGGAGCAAGAAAAAGAAAGTCAATACAACAGTTTCCTTTCTGACCTAAGTAAATGAGTCATTAGGTGAACATCAGTTTTTTGACCAATTCCATAACATACCCCAACACCCATTATCAGTTAATTAAAATTAACAATGTTATTTCTCTTCTGTAAAGATGAAGGCAGAGTTTTCTATGTGATCTCAGGAAGTGACAGTTATTAAAATGTACAGAAGTGGTGAAACAGTTCTTGATTGTGATGATTGACCGGTTTGATATTATGTCATCCATTAATATTAGTGGTTTATGACTTTGCCCAAAACTGAACTCTGTTAACGTTAAATGTCTGGTCTACTTTTCCACGTAGTTTTTTCTATTAATTATTTTACAGTTCACTAAGGAGAGTTTAGAAAGGCAGAGCTAACCAAGTTATTTTGCAGTGTGGATCGAGCCTTTGGGGGAAATGCCAGTCGAAATATTAAATTTAACAGAATAATTTTTAAAAAAGAACCAAAAACTAAAAATACAACAATCCAACATCTTATGGAAACATTAATAGTAAATTTTTACTTTTGAAAGTGTCATTTAAATATGCTGCAAATAATCAGTATGGTACATTTTTGTTAAATATATTGCAAAGGAAAGTTGTTCCTTTCAAACACAGTTTTTCCTTCCTGCAGATTCACAGAGTATTTTCAAGAGGTGTGGCAGCTCAAGAAGGTACCATTCAGCGGGGAGACTACATCTTATCTATCAATGGAATGTCTGTAATAGGCACAACACATGTCGATGTGCTGAACGCACTTCACCGGGCCCGCTTACATAAACAGGCCATCATTGTCATTAAAAAAGGAAAGGAACAGGAAGAAATTTCTTCCAAGCCAGATTTATCACTTTCTAAAGGAAACCATCTCACAGCGGGAAGCAATGATACTACAGAAACACTAGGAACAGGTAGGAGTCTATCAGGTCTCGGTATAAACTCAATTCTGAAGAAGATTTCCTTGTACGTTCTGTTAATGCTTTGCATTAGTCACTCCCAGCTAAGAGTTAATCTGGGGGTCAGTTAGTTCAGCGGGCTGAGCTCATTTACAAAGCAGAGAGGCATCGGGGAGGATCAGGATGCAGGGAGACAACAGCACTGGTTCAGTTTCCTGTATCAACTGGAGTTACCACGATGGTCCCTCCTCCTCGGCTTCTCCCTTCATCTGAGGTCTGGTGGTCCTCAGGTTAAACTACCACTAGTCATCTCTCTCTTATGAGAGAGCAGCCCTGATGTCCTCTGGGACTATAGTGACCTTACCTTTACTTAGGTGAACGTGCTTCACAAGAGACATCCCATTCATTCCAGGTGAAGTCATAGAGTCATACAAGATAGAAACAGGTCCTTTGACCCACCATGTCTATGCTGCCCAACAAACACCAAACTACACTAATCCCATTTACCTGCACTTAGTCTGTAGCCTACTATGACCTGGTATTTTAAGTGCTTATCCAGATGCTAACCAAAGTTAATTTACGTGCATTTGAATTTCTGGGTTGTGTGTGATTGGAACAGTTTGGAAACATTTTTGGATTCAATGGGAAGTAGTACTATTTGACAAAGTCTGTTATTAGTAATAGAGCATATAGTTATAGTCCATCTTGGACTGAGTTATGGCTTGGAAATGGATTATTCAGCAGAAAGGGCAAGTTGTGCACAGAGAGAGAGAGAGAGAGAGAGAGAGAGGAGAATTTGTAATAGCGGGCTGTACGTACCAAGTGTTTTCAGAGAGCATTTCTCCACTTCCCCAACAACCCAAGGCAGGCATGCTTCACCAAGGAGATAGACACTGAACTGCATTACTTTCTACAATTGGATCAGCATGCTCACAACAGGACAATGTTGCACTGCCAGTGGGTGTGAAGATTAATGTGGCCTCAATTTCTAAATCAGCAGCTCCTTGCAGGCAGGAGCAGGTGGCACTGCCAGTGTTTCATAATTCACAATGCTGCTCTGAATCCGGAGATGCCAGAGGACCTATAGGCCAGGAAAGTGAAATTTATCATCTTTCATCCTACCAGAGAGAAATACAAGGAGTGACCATATGGAATTGCCCAGGCTAATGCAATTTCCAATTGTGCAGAATGGAGTAGGGAACCATGGACTGTTCACGGACCCCACATATATTGGGTGAGATGTACCACATCTACAGGACATACCTCTCCATGAAAGTGCAGATTCTACCTAGACATCATGGTATCCTGGCAGCAAGCATGATACACGAATCCTGGGCCAGTCAGCTATGCCCATTATCTTTGAGCCACTGTGATATCCCGAACGCTGGTTCTTAGATGGCAAGGCCTGCCTCTGCCTTAGATTTGGCTCAAGAGTTCCCTCCACCACTGATATAGACAGTGTGCTTACACTGAAAACTATACTGCTATCAGGAACACAATGAAGTAAACTAATGGTGTTATAAAACAACTGCCTGAACTGCTGAGGAGGTTGGCTCTCCAGGTTTGTAGTTGTCTGATATGTTTTCCATAGTATATAAGCTCATGATTTTACAAATTCTATCTTTGTGGTACTGTGAAAAATCATCCTGCTAGAGAGAAGAAAGAACATGAGTGACTGCTTTGTAATGTATTTGGGTGATATGCCTGCCTTAGCTGAATAGTTCAAGATATATGGAACCTGCAGGAAGTTAAGTGTGAGGATGGCAAATTTGGTTAAATATGTGATGGTGAGGTGGGCCATCTGATTGTTTGACCTGAGACCTTATTGCTAATGAGTGAGTGATACATTGAGCAGTGAGAAAAGTTGGTAGTGTCTTATGAAGGAGATGTGTGCACAGACCAATGTGAGGTCATTGAATCTTTTCCAGAACTGCAGTCAGTTACTCAGGCCCAGGCTCTGGAAATTGACCTCCAAAGTCACTAGATTCAATTCCTTTAAGAGGGAAGGTCTTGAAACCTCTCAAACTAAGCTTTGCATTGCATTCAATAACCTGAGAGCACTCTCCCTAGCCTTTTAGTCCATTTGCAGTCTCCTTCTTTCAATCCTGATATAGTTCTACAAGTTACTGTAGCCTGAGTGCACTTGCCTTTGAGAAGGGCATGCAGCAGTGTTCTGGCCATGCAGATTCCTACCTTCCCACTGTTTCACGCTGTTAGACATTTTGCAGTCACATCAATACACAGACAGTATGAAGTTTTTCTGCTGCTTCCCTCAGCTTGACAAATCACTGGCTAATTGTGCATCGTGATCCCCACACTTAAAAATGGTGCGAATCCAATTTTTAGCCTAACCCGCCATAACCATCACAATGTGAACTTGGGATATTTCTTCAAATGCATTTAGGAGGATAGATAAATTCCTCTTCTGAATCCATGCTAATGTTGTATAGATACTTAATTTCATTCTTATTAACTCATTCCATTATTTTGCATGCAATAAAATTGTGACTAAAAGACCATAGTTGCCTATAATAATTTTATTCCCTTTTTTGAATGCCTTAGTCTCTTTCCATTTCCTAGAATCCCTAGAGTGTGGAAACAGGCCCTTTGGCCCAACAAGTCCACACTAATCCTCCGAAGGGCATCCCACCCAAACCCATTCGCCTACCCTTTCCCTGTAACCCTGCATTTCCCATGTCTCGTCCACCTAACTTAAACACCCCTGGACACTACGGGCAACTTAGCACGGGCAATTTAGCATGGCCAATCCACCTAACATGCTCATCTTTGGACTGTGGGAGGAAACCCACGCAGACACTAGGAGAATGTGCAAACTCCACAAAGACAGTCACCTGAGGGTGGAATCGAACCGAGGTCTCTGGTGCTGTGAGGCAGCAGTGCTAACTACTGAGCCACTGTGCCGTATAAGGTAAGTAAAGTCACTGTACTCCCAGAGGATCATAGGGCTGCTGTCTCATCACACAAATGACTGGTGCCAAGTTTAACCCACGATACCACACCTTCAGGACCTTCATGGTTATCTCAGCTGGTGGGAGAATTGAACCCAGCCAACCAGAATCATGCTGCATTCCAAACCAACCAACCAACCACCCAACCAACTGAGCTAACTGACCCCCAAAACTGATAGGAAAATATCACACATACTTAAAAACTGCTGAACAGGGGAAACATGGTCAAGCAGCATCCCCAGACACCAAGCTCTGACCCAATATAAATCAGGAGCATTATACTGCCACCAAACACCATGGGCCTGACGTGATCTGAACACGCAACCTTCTGAGCTGGAGTCAGACAGGCTACCATTGCGCCACAAGGGAAATTTGTTGGAAAGCAATGCTTTAAGCAGAATTAATGCTTAAATCTGTTTTGAGCAGTACTAAGCTGATTTAATTGATTGCCAACAAAAAGATTGTGCCGTGATCCATGCAGCCTCTTCATTGATATCATTGAAAATTTTATTTGATTAGTTTTAATTCAGATAGTTTTTATCATATCTCGTCGCACAATTTGAAGATGAGCAAGGAGTTCTGTTAATGTCATGGTCAGCATTCATCCCTCAACCAAAACCACAAGAAGCAGATTATCTTGCTATTCATTCACTGATTGACTGATTTTATTGTCACGTGTCCTGAAATACAGTGAAAAGTTTTGTTAACGAGCAGTACAGGCAGATCACAGTAAGTACAGATCAAAAAGACTTAGAGGCATACAGGTTACATTGCAGGCTATATTATTTGAGGCTAGAGTCCATTCAACCGTCTAATAACAACAAGGAAGAAGCTGTTCCTGAACCTGCTTGTGCGTGTGTTCAGACTTCTGTATCTTCTGCCTGACGGAAGAGGTTGTAGGAGGCCATTACCAGGCCAAAGGTCTCTTCTGTCCATCTTCAAGTTCTGGATGAGCAGAAATGTCCTCCAGCTAAACATTGGGAAGACTGGAAGTCATTGTTCTCAATCCCCACTGCAAACTTCACTCCCCACAATAGATTCTAGTTTTCTCTCTAGCAACTATCAGAGACTGAACCTGTTTGCAAACTTAGTTTTATATTTTCGTCTGCGATAAACTTCCAACCATCACTCAAATATGCTATTTCCACCTCCATGTCCTTGCTACAACTCATCTGCTGCTGAAGTCCTCATCCATGATTTCATTACCACTAGATCTGACTATTTTGCTGATCTCCCACTATGTTGTGTCCACCTGTCACCCTTTTGGTCAGGTCTGCATTGGATCCCAGTCAAGCAACATCTCAACTTTAACATTTACATTCTTATTTTCAAATTCCTCCACGGCCTCACTTCTCCCTGTCTCAGCCCCACAGTCCTGAAGATATATAGACTCATGTAATGAACTCGAGCTTGACCTTTCTAATTTTAATCACTTTTCTTTTTAGGTGATCGTGACTTCAGCTGCCTAAGCCCTAGCTCTGGAGTTCTCTTTCTAAACTTCTCTGCCTCTCCATTGCTGTTTCTTCCTTTAAGATACTTCCGAAAACCTACTTCGTTGACCCAACCTTTAAATACCTGCCTTAATATTGCCTTTTGTGGCTTGGTGTCTAATTTTGCTGTATGGATGGCAGAGCTTTGAAAGTTTACAGAATGATTTTATTTAAATTTTTATTCTGTCATGGGATGTGGGTATTTTCGGGCTACACCCACATTTATTACACTGGGAAAGTTAAGGCTCCAGGTAACAAAGGCATGAATAAGGCCTTTAGCTGCAACTGAAAAAGGCAAAGTCGAGTGACGTTTTAGAGGTAGGAATAATACAAGTATTGTGTGCCAAGTTAAAGTTGCATTTGTCTTGGATATTACAGACGTGAATGTGGACCTTAGAGGGGCCATCACTGTAGAGCTGCTGAAGACCTCTGCTGGCCTAGGATTCAGCCTGGACGGTGGGAAGGCTTCGATCAATGGAGACAGACCTCTGCACATTAAGCGAATATTTCAAGGTAAGTATTCCCACTAAAAATGCAGCATATACAGAAGCCTTCCTTAATAAATTCAATCAAAGCAAAAACAAAAGTGTGTTAATTGAAGTTTTCTAAATAATAATTTTGTATAAAACCAGCTAAGTTTAAATAAATTGTTTCAGCCATTAGTACTTACACATGTTTTGATCAAACTGTTCAGATGTGTCACATCATATCTCTGGAGCAGGTGGAACTTGAACATGTGTAATAATAGCCAGCTCCTATTATAGCAGTTAATGTAACTGCCACAGGCCCATCTGAATGTGAGGTACAATCTCCAAACTGCAAGTTATTTTATGCTAAGAGAAGTATGTCACAGGTTTATTTTGCAGAATCAGTGTTGATGATAAGCCTTGCAATTCTTCTGCCCATCTCACCCACACCTGCTACCCTATCTGGCTCTGCATATTTAGAAGTCATTAACTCAGTGTTGTCCATGAATTAAATCAATTAAAAACTGAGGGCAATGTACTTGCTATTTCACCTTCTACAGAACCAGTAACCTCAGGCCTTACCAGAAAACTGGCCTTCGTTCATGGATGTCGACTCCATAGGCTGAGAAGTTGGTAATGAGATGCATTCTTGAACCTGCAGTCCATGTGTTATAGGGAGACCCATAATGCTGTTATTGAGGAAGTTCTGGGATTTAGGCCCATTGGCACTGAATGAACAGTAATATATTTCCTAGTCAGGATGGTGAATGGCTTGGAGAGGAAATTGCAGGTGCTGGTGTTATCATGTACCTGCTGTCCTTGTCCTTCAAGATTTGTAGTGGGTCTGGATTTGGAAGGTGCTGTCGAAGGATCTTCAGCGAATGTTTTAACAATAAATCAAGTACTTAGAATACTGCAATCTAACAGGTCTAACCTGTTATTTTTCTCAGTGTCTAAACTTCCTTGCTTCAGTAAAATGTAAGCACAGTTCAGCACCAATTTTAGGGCCTGAGCACCTTCTCCCATGTCCTTACCCATGTCCATGGTGTGTGTCATAAATCTGTGCTAAATGTACACAAAAGGCTACTGCTGAAACTGATTGCAGTCATTTAAATGTGTGCACAAAAGGAGAGGGTTCTTGCAGTACAGTGGTCGTGTTCCTACCTCTGAGCCAGAAGACACATGTTCAAGTTCCACCTGCTCCAGAGATATGATGTGACACATCTGAACAGTTTGATCAAAATATCTGTAAGTACTAATGGCTGAAACAATTAATTTAAACTTAGCTGGTTTTGAAAAGAATGTATTGGATAGGTAAACAAATTATAGGCAAAAAGCAAAATAAAGAGAAACCCAACGAGGAGATCTATGGCAGCTGATTGCTGATGGCAAATGGATGGTCTGCTATGTGAATTGGGTGTAAGGGGGAATACCTGAATCAGTACCTTACTTATAGTGACAGTGAATTGTAACCAGCAATAATGGTCAGGCTGAACATTGTGTTCACAACCTGCAGGGTGGGTGTCAGAGACAGAGTAAGATACCGATCAGGCAAACTATGGTCACCCAACAATACTGTGCCTGAGATTGGAAGGCACAAGTTGTTGTCCGTCAATATGTCCCATGTTTTCTGCTCACCAGCAAAAATGATGTCGAGGTGCCATTGTTGGACTGGGGTAGAAAAAGTCAGAAGTCACAAGACACACCAGGTTATAGACCAACAGGTTTGGACCAACACAAGAGAACTGTAAGGAATGAAGTTAGTGATCAAAAAAGTTTCAACCAAATTTAAGAGAACTGTGTTTATTTTTAGGAGTGAGATATATTAAAATGGGTTACATTTTTGTGATTTTTATTTGTGCATTCGATGTTCTCTTAGTCTAATCATGTCAAAGGATAATGTACAATTTGAGATTAGTACTCTTCCATTCCCTGTAACACCACATTTTACATGGTTTTTGTTCCTGTTCTGGCTGCACTCCCTCTGAAGCAAAAAGAGCTTAAAGCCCCTTAAAAACAAACTGATTTGTCAGTAGTGCTGAATTTCATGGCTTAATTCACATTATATTTTACCTGTTGTAACCTGCAGGTGGTGTTTCTGAACAATCTGGAAAGATCAATGTTGGGGATGAATTGCTCGCAATCAATGGAAAGTTCCTGCGTGGCCTCATGCACTATGACGCTTGGAACATTATCAAGTCTGTCCCTGAAGGACCTGTCCAGTTAGTGATTCGGAAAATTAAAACAGTTTAATGATTGAGGTTTGTTCGATGCATTGGAGCACAACCAATAACATCATTGTGCCAAAGTGAAATGAAAACCCTCAAATTCCATCAAAATTACCTCTGTCAATGTTTTTCTTCAAGAAATGAGAATTGGCAAAATAATAAGACAGATTATAGCAGAATTGTGTATCTTCCAGAATGAAAGGCCTTTTTATTACAATAAATCTTTGAGAAGAAAAAGGTTAAGGGAAAATAGATTTCAGAATCTTTTGTTGTATTCCAGAGCAGAAATTGGAGTTCAAATGATGTTCAAATAATCCAACACAAAGGATTTACATTTGGAAAGCTCACCATTGATACTTGCATGCACCCATTACCATACTTAAAAATCTTCAAATCAAGCTTCTGGGAAATTCATTGTCTGAAATGAAGTGGATACTTTCTCTGTAGAAAGATGTCTATAAAAATGTTGAGAATCCAAACCAAAAGGGCCTCCAGTTGTGCAGTTACACTGCTGAAGTTTACCTTGTTTACTGCCAAGCAGTTTACTGACAACACTTTGTACCAATGCGATTCTGCTTACTTGCACACATCCAAAGGACAATAGTCATTAGTTGGATTTTAAATATCAGCCAAGTACAAGTTTGAGACTTTGTTATGCAGGCAGGGGGAACCAGTAATTACCATCAAATAACATTCCACTAACCCCTTTGTGCGTAACACTAGCCCCAGAGCACTGTGACTCCACTGGTCAGAAATGTGAAGCTAAGGGAAACTGCTTGTCCCTTGGCAACCCGTTCATCCTTGATCATTGGAAGTAACAAATCTTGGAGCATGCATTCTCAACCAGGAAATGTTACACCCTGTAACTCCAGTTATTCCAATTCACAGGGTCTCCTCAGCAGTATCTCTGCATGTGAAGAAATCATCATGCATCGGCAGTAATTGTGTGCATCAAGTTTCAAATAATATAAGAGCCCCCTGTATTAAAACTAGTTGTTCAATATATTTCAGAACAGCGGGGCAGTTTTCCCCTTTAGGAAGCCAGCAAAAGAACTTGGTGAGATGGAAGCATTTTTTGCATAGTGCTGTGCCAGCTGCCTGCAATCCTCCATGTATTTATTCTAATAGGCAGTATATTGTCAGCAGCTTGCACCCAGTTAATTTGATTAGGGCCCCCCCCCCCCAACAGAAAACCTGTCTCCGTGTCCATAAGGAGCAAAGGCTGTTTTTCATTAGCAAATGGTCATGAGCAATGAGGTACTTTTATTCTGTGGTTCTCAAATTAAGGCTCGAGAGGCAGTGATCTGTGGTGCTTCAAAAGCTGATTGGGAGTTTAGATTAGCATGACATGACCACCTTTTCCCTGACTCCTCCTTCAAACTGGCTAATGACAGTGTGACATCAAGACCAAGCTCTTGCTATCAAAGTTGGTAGCTTCAGTTGGGAAATGTCCCAGCCCTCTTGACCTACCTCAGTTAAATATACCCTAAAAAGAGTAATTTTCACTCCATGACGAGCAGGAATACAAGATAGGTGGGTCTCTAATCCTGAAAGCAGAGCATAGGAGACTATAGGAGCAGATGAGTGCTGGAGTAGATTGGTTAGAAGACCCATTTTGTTTATCTGGAATTTTGTCCAATTTGTTTTATAACATGTGAGGTCCTCTAACTATCACCCCTATCACAAACTCATGGCCTTTCATACCCTCCATGCCAACTCAATCCTGGCTGGCCCAGCATCCACCCTGGGCAGATCACAGGAAACATCTAGAGATAAACAAAAACTTCTAACAATATAATACAGTTCTCATTTCTACATACTTGATAGTGAAAGCACTCACGTTCTAGAAACCCATTCAAAACTTTTAAATCTCAAGTGGTTTAAAAATGTTCTATTCAGACATCACATCAAGGACAACTAATCCTTTAATAGCCTCTTAAACATCAATCAAACTGAACCCAGACCTCCCACAGAGATAAATATAGCTTTTGAAACACAGTCAAGCATTCATAATGACAGATGCTCGCCCTTGACTAAATGTCAATGAAGAGTTCTGTTGAAACCACACAACCAGATGCTGCTTTTCTTTCTAAAGAAAGAAGATGCAGCAGATGGCCTGTCAATTAATCAAATTGTAGCTGTCAATGTTGTTGATTTTGTTTTAACATTTAGCAGGGGATTTCATTTATTTTAAAGTCATAGTAGTTCTGCAGACTTCATTCATTCTTAAGGAACATTTATATCTTCTTCAATTTACGACTCTCACACTGTGAACTAAGGCCTTTGAATAAGCCAAATGGGATCTATTTTAACTCAACATTGGATTCAAGTGACCCTGCTGAGTTTGGTTTTCCTTTCAATGTGAATCATACCCCATCAAATTTTCTCTATCAGCAAGCAGGACTTACACATCTGGATCCCGCCCACAATGTTTCAAAAGCTTCCCTGGCTCCATGAAAATCCGGCCTCGAGCTGGTTGTAAAGAATAGAATCATAGAATTTTGTAATACAGAAGGGGGCCATTCAGCCCATCATGCCTGTGCCAGTTCCCAAAAGAGCTACCATTCTCCAGCCTTATCTCCATAGCACTCTAAGTTCGTCACTTTCAAATGTATATCCAGCTCTCTTTTGAAACCTCCTGTGGAATCTGCCTCCACCACTCTCCTAGGCAGCACGTTCCAACAACTTGCTGAATAAAGAAGTTTCTCCTCATCTCACTCTTAGCACTCTTGCTGAAAATCTTGAAATTGTGACCACTAGATACTGACATACCAACTAGTGGAGACAGAATATTCTTCTTTACCCTGTCAAAATTGTTCATCATTTTGAACATTCAATGAGATCACCTCTTAATCTTCTCCTTTGCACTCGCTCCAGGGCTGTAACATTCTTCCTTAAATAAGGTGCTCAGAACTGAACACATTATTCCAAATATGGTCTGACCAAAGATTTGTAGAGGAGCAGCATCACTTCCCTATTTTTATACTCATTGTCTCTATCTATTATCCCAATGGTCCTTTAAGCCTTCCTAGCAATTGTTTCCACTTGCCTGTCTACCTTCAGAGAAATATGCACTTGCACCCTGAAATCCCTCTCCTCCCATTAAAGTTGTACTATTGTCTCTCCAAGTACCATATCAAATTCTTTTTGAAAGTCCAAATACAACATCCACAGCACCGCCCTCATCCACTACCTGTGAAACTTCATTAAATAACTCAATTAAATTTGTCAGACATGACCTTCCCTTAACAAAACCATTTTTACTGTCTAGTATGAACTTATTTTGTCTAAGTATGGATTTGTCTTATCCCATATTACGGCTTCCATCAGTTTTCCAACTATTTATGTCTAGCTGACAAGTCTGTAGTTCCATGGGTTTCCTTTGTGCATTTCTTAAACAATACCATCACATTTGCAATCCTCCAGGCCCCAAGACTAATTCTGTGTTCAGAAAAGCCTGGAAAATTTGTTAATGGCTCTGTGATCTGCTCTCTTACATCTCTCAGCAATCTAGGATACGTGCCATCTGGACAAAACAAAAAACTGCAGATGCTGGAAATCTGAAACAAAAACAGAAATTACTGGAAAAAACTCAGCAAGTTTTGCAGCATCTGTGGAGAGAGAAACAGAGTTAACATTATGGGTCCAGCAATCCCTCTTCAGAACATTTTGAAGTTTTTCCAGCAATTTCTGTTTTGTTGCATTCCAACTGGGCCTGGCGAATTCTCTACCTGGAGTGTGCTGCCAGACTTTGTAGTACCTGTTCTTTATCTATAACTTGGTTATTCAGTTGCTCAATACCCATATTTTCAACTGGGCCATTATCACCATCTTCAAATTTGGTAAAGACAGAACAAAGTAACATTTAGTACCTTTGCCATACCGTTTGCTTCAGCGAGTTTACCCTGCTTATTCCTATCCTTCACTAATTTTTTTACTATTAATACGTTTGAAAACATTTTAAAATTTGCTTTAGTGCAGCCTGCCATCCTTTCCTCATGCTTCTTCTTAGCCTTCCATATTCAAGCCTTAACCTGGAATTCACTGTTAAATCCATTAAAAGGTGTTTCCAATCATCATCTTAAGTTCAACTTTTAGATCCCTGCGATATGTCCTTTTCTAGTCTGGCGCCTTAATCCTTGATGTTTATCCTTTTCCAATTTAATACTGAAACTTACTATATAATGATCTCTATTTCCCAAGTGGTCCCGCACTTTGACATTCTCCATTTGACCTGCCTCGTTTCCTAGGACCAGATCCTGCACAGCTTCCTCCCTGGAAGGACTGGAAATGTACTGTTCCAGAAAGTTCTCCTGCACACATTGAAGGAATTTCTCCCTTTCCATGCCACGTACTCTACCTTTGTTCCAGTCTACCCTAGAGTAATTGAAATCACCGACTATCACAACCCTACTTGCAGATTTCCATAATCTGCATACAAGTGCTCTCTTGTACTTCCCACTATTTGGAGGTCTATAAATAAATACCCAACAAGGTCACCAACTGCCTTCCTGTTTTGCTTCTCCAACTATATATAGATTCTCATTCAGGAACAGCATCTTGTTGAAGGGCTATGATACTATCTTTGACCAACACTGCTATGCTTCCTCCTTTTTTACCCACCTTGCTTCTACTAAAAAAAATCTTATAACCCGGAATGTCAAGTATCCAGACCTTTTCTGGCTTGAGCCATGTTTCTGTTAATGCTACTATGTCATATCTCCATAGAGCAACTTCTACTTCCAATTCCCCAATTTTGTTCACTACAGTCCATGCATTTACATACAATTTAGTCCTGTCCTTATCTCTTTCATGCCCAGTGGGAGGTAACCATTTCTTTGTCCACTATAAACTTTCAAAACCTTCCCTCACTTCCTTTTCCCTGTTCCCCATCTCTCCTTTACCCTCTCTGGTACTTCCAAAACTAGACCCATAGAACAACCCACTCCCCTGCCTTACAATTTTGAATCCACCCCCACTACGTTATTTACTGTCTCAACCAGGAGCTTAGTTCCATTTCAGCTGTGTTGAAGCCCATTACTTTTGAACAGCTTTCTCCTTTCCCAGAAGTGTTCCCAACATCCTAAAAATCTAAACCCCTCTCTTCTACACCATCCGTCAATCCAGGCATTTACCTTCTGAGCTGTCTTTGCTTAAATGGTGAAGCTCATGGCACAGATATATTTCTGAGATTACTACCCTGGAGGTCCTATGTTTGAACCTACTCCCTAACTCCTGACAAGATGCATCACTTAAATGCAGGATTCAAAATATCAGTAAGCTGAGCTCCTAAAATTTAATTAGCTCAATTCAGTCATTCTTTATAAAATTTATGGTGTTTGTTTCAAGTTAGCTTTTACAGCAAGGTAAATATGGTTTAAACTCTTGTATTTTAATCCATATCAAGTGATCATGAGGAGCTGTTGTTATGTCTTGTTATGGATCAAGTCATGTTAGAAACTGAATAAGATTAGTTTCCTTTTTAAACTAAATCATGAAGTAAGTCCTGCAAGACCTCCGAGCTGCCCCTCTCCATATCATTGGTTCCCACAAGAACCACAAACACTAGCTGTTCACCTTCTTTCCAGACATTTATCCAGCCATTCAGTTATGTCCTGAAGGCAATATTATGCATTATGCAAGCTGCCTAACTAAAGTGACATTAGTGATTCCAACCTGCCTGTCAGGAGTGAACCTAAAAAGGCAAGTAAAACTAATGGGGTGGAATTATGTTCCATGCTATTAGCTAATAATGCAAAAGGTATTATGATAAATAGGTTAATGTCACCATTAAAACAAAGGAATGGGAACCTCCAGCATAATCACTCACAACAAAAACCATGTGTACAATTTCACGTCATTTATGAATCACTGACAATAATTTGTGGATCCAAAGGAATGAATAAATAACCAGCCCTTTAATATCTACAACCAATTGAATTTCTAACAGTTTTCTTTGCACCTGAAGCTATGCCATTAGATTGTTTCCCTGTAGGTGGCAGTAGTACCAGATCCTTTGTCATGCAATCCTTTCTGTCAAGGAAGCCATTCCATTTATAAAGATGTCAAAACATTTTGAATTTATTTGTGCTGGCAAGATCACATTTCATGCCCATTTCTTGTTACCTTAATAGTTTTTATTTATTAAACTGCTGCAATCCTTAAGGCATTGGAACTTCTGTAAAGGTCTTATGTACGAAGTCCAACAATTCCATAGGTGCATTCAGTACTGAGAAAGCAATAACTTGTATTATGTAATGTTTTATCATACTAATATCACAAAGTGCTTTACAGGAATGTTATCAGACTGATTTGACACATGTTAAGGCAAATGACCAAAATTTTAGTCAGAGGTCAGGTTTACTTAGCTTCTAAAAAGTGGACAAACAGTTGGAGAGGTTTAGGGAGGAGATTCCAGAACTTAGCAAATAGTAAATGATAAAATACAATTTCGAAACTGTGTAACTATAACCAGATGAGATTTCTGCAGGGGTTTTTCCAACTGTTTCTGCCCACTGCACTTATCAAGATTTTCTCTAAATAGTGATGAGGTAATCATCAACCATGATCTAAATGAATGACAGAACAGACTCAAGGGGTTGAATGGCCTACTCCTGTTCTGCATATTGTCATTAATTTAAAAAGTATATAAATATTGTCCCTTGCATGCAGCAATATATCTCAGTGCATTTGCAAAGGATAAGATGCATCTTTTAAATGCAGGATTCAAAATTCCAGTAAGCTGAGCTCCTAAAATGTAATTAGCTCAATTCAATCTTTCTTTATAAAATTTATGGTGTTTGTTTTAAGTTAGCTTTTACAGCAAGATAAATATGGTTTAAACTCTTGCATTTTAATCCATATTAACAAGAAACTAAATTTAGCAAAGCTGAAGTGATCACGAGGAGCTATATGTCTTGTAATGAATCAAGTCATGTTAGAAACTGAATAAGATTAGTTCCCTTTTTAAACCAAATCATGGTGAAATAAGTCAGTATACAGATTAAATAGTTGCATCTTTAATCTGAAATATTTATCTGGAATCTTATATAAAGCTTGATGCCTGACTCTGTTTGAAAGAATCCACATTCCAGACTAGTATAAAACTAAAACACTGCAGATGCTCAAAATCTGAAATAAAAATTGATCGTTTTGTTTGGCAGCATCTGTGTAGTAAGAAAAAGTTAATGTTTTGGGTCAATTACTTTTCATCAGTTCTGATTTATTTTACCTGATTATTGTTCTGAAATATTAACTTTGATTCTTTCTCTGTGGATGCTACTTGAACTGTTAAGTCTTTCAAGTATTTGAATTTCCACCCTGATCATTTTGTTTGCCCTAGTATGCTCTGTTGTTTTGATAATCCCCTGTTTGGAATAGACAGTTTCAAAGTGCTAATATAATGAACAATGTATTCAATATGTGCAAATTATTTTAATAATTTGTTATTATAAATGTTACTGGACTTAGTGACGGGAGAAAGATATATGAATGTGAATATCTGGATTGAAATTATTTTTCTCTGCTATTTTCTTTCCCTAAAACTTGTAACTGTTGAAATCCCCTATTATAAATTCCACTTTTTAGTTAATTTGCACACCTATTCAGGTGCTCCTAGAATCATGCAAGTACAATATGAGGATAGTTAGTAGCTTATTTGTCTACCTTTGGAAAATGTAACATAGATCTCAACAAACAGCACCAGATTTCATAGTGTAGATATTTTTCAATCAAACTGTTTGGGTGTGTTATGACACATCTTCTGGAGCAGGTGGGACTTGAATCCAGATCTTCTGGCCCAAGGTAGGGATACTACCACTGCACCACAAGAGCTCCAATTTCACAGCGTATAACAAATAAGAATAATCAAGCCTCTAACTAAGCCATCCCATCCTTATTTATTTTCATTGATTTGTTATGGTTTCAAATTGCTAACATCTATTTGGTGATGCAATGAATTCACTCCTTTTTTTGAAAACGGTAATGAATATTATGTAAAGACAGCCATTGGTATTACAAATGGGTTCTGTAAACTAGCATATTCTAGCATTACAATTTCACCAATTCAACTCTACACTTCTCACTGATTCAATTTTAAATCTACAAAAGTATCTAATTATCAATGAAAAAATCATTTAAAGGTAACACCTATTAAATTGAGACCTACTTATGTTTCAAAAAACATTTTGGTGCACAATAATCTGTAAAATACTGTTGTAAAAATATCTTTATTTGTGTATTAATATGACTGCTTTATCAACAGTTGTCTTACATGAACTTTGGGGGATTAAAAGAGTGCAATACTACTAGATGGACTGTATATTTTTTAAAGTGGCTTTGCGCTCATTGTTTAAAGCTGAAAAATCTGTAAACAAGGTTTTATATTGATTCAAAACAATATTTTATGAAATAAAAATGCATCCTAACCATATATTATGGTTCTGTCTAACTCCATATTGTTTTATATTTAACTGGATTTTTTTTTTATTCACTGAATTGTTTTGTGCTCAGAATCTCTCCTCCTCTGCACTCATGGATTCTCCTCAGTTAATCTTTTACCAGCCTTAGCTACTGCATCCTATGAGAATTTTCTAAGTAGGTTCAGTAGCTTCTTCATCTGCTGTAATATGTCTGTGCCTCAGTGTACAAGACCAGGACACTATCCTGGTGCGAAATACCCAAAACACTGAGCCTACAGGTTTTTTTTGTGTGATCTCACAGTTTAATTTGGATCGATGTGTGTCAACCAGGTTTGCCATTTCATGGCCAAGTGTAGATGGGCTGTGACTCAACTCCCAGTTCAGATTTGTCACCTTCACAAACAACCTGAGTTGAAACCAGGACCCAAGGAAATAAGAAACAAAAACAGAAATTGCTAGAAAACCTCAGCAGGTCTGACAGCATCTGTGGAGAGAAGTGTTTCATTTGCAGTGACCTTTCCTCAGAACTGATAGTAGCTTGGAAAAAATTATTTGTTATGCCAAGGAAATAAGGATTATTGTCGAAACTATCAAAAATCGCAAGACTTTTGCAATTCTTGTAGGCATTACTGATGAAGTCAGTATTGCTGCCCGTAAATCCATTGAACATCCCTTGGCTTCCGTGATCGTGTCAAAAGGCAGTTAAAAGTCTACAATATTGCTGCATAAACCAAACCAAGTAAAGATAACAGATTCCTGTAAGAACTGAACCAAATAATTTTTACAACAACCTATGTTATTTCATAGTTATCGTTACTGAGATTAGCTTTCAATTCCAGATCTTATTAATTGAACTTAAATTCCAACAATGGGGGTCACTGAATCCATCTTTTCTAGTGTGGGTCACTGGACTACTAGTACAGTGTCATTACCATGATGTCCCCCCTCCACATTGTGTACATAACAGAGAAAATCTGACTGCAGTTTCAAAGCAAGTTTCAGAAGGGTAAAGGATTGCTACTATTTACAGGTAAAATATCAAGGGATTACTTTTTCTAAGATATAGATTATTGAGTGTTGTATTACTGCTGTTAAATACTGATCTTAGTGTCACAAGTATTAGTTATCGTAACAAATTAATTGCTAGAAGTTAATGGTAGAATGTAAAGATTCTCCTCTGTGAATTCCTCATCTTTGGTTTACCCTCATCCCTGCTCTTATTTCCCATCTTCAGCTGCTGCTGAGTGTCAGTCTGGTTCTTGAAACTTCACATGCTGATGAAAATGAAAATGAAAAGTACTCATCTACAGGAAACCCATTCATTATAAGATAGATGCAGTAACATTTTCAGACATCACTTGATCAGGTGTCAGAGATCAAATAACATTGTCAAGTGTCATGTGGTTCGATCATCATGAGATGAAACCTTCAGGAATGGCCTGCAGCCTGCTTTGTAATAACTCTCCCAAGGGTCAGATTATACCAGCAAATTTCTGAACACCTCAATCAAGGGCTTTTAGGAATACATGTGACAGGATCCAGTTATAGCAAACACCAGTTGCTGCTGGGATTTCCCAGCTAACCTTAATTGACAAGTGTTGCAAACAATTGAAATTCTGTAGGCATAGAGTTGTCACTTCCCCTGGCTCATTCGAAATGTACTAATGCAGTAATGGAAGCCAGTACATCCAGTGAAATGAGCATCCAGGGAAGGGAGAAGAGAATGCTCATGCCAAACAAGTCGGCTGAAGCTCGTATTCCTTTTTCAAATATATCTTAATTATAGTAGGGATTAATCTTCCTGGGCCTTGAATGACATTGTCTATGATGAGAAATTAGGGAAAATTAGGTGAGATTCTGAGCAAGGCCCTACTCAACATCAAGACCAAAAAGTCACAATTATACAAACAAGTCCCTGATGTCAGGATGTGATTCTCGCCTGTGAACTGCAAGAGACATATAAACAGGGATTATTGCTCATTATCACTTAATCTCACCTCATAAATGAGCACTTTCCCATTCTCCCACCTACCAGATAGAAACACTTGGCATCCAGTTTCTGACATGAAAATGAGAGGGGGGATCTGACAGCTTCAGCCTCTGTGCATCGTCTCTGATCCAGTTTTACAAAGTAATGCCACACTTTGGACCACCTGTCATTTAAATGCTGCAGCAAAGTGAGTATGCACAGGGACAGGCACCCACTCACAGATTACACCAGGTGCATCACAGGCCTGCTTGCTCACTTAGTAATCACTCATTTGAGCCGACATTGATGCTTACAGCATATCTGCATCACCTTGCCTTGTCTTTTAGTGCAGAAACAAAGCCAGTCAGCCTGTCATGGTTGCCAGCAATGATCAGTCAAGGGGGTGAACACATTGCTATACATCACTGTGCTACATCAATCTCCACCTACATCAAGTGACAGCTGCATACATAGCAAACCTGCTGCCTGAGCTTCAACTGATGTCTCAAAGGCTATAGGGAGCAGTCCTCAGTCATGTCAAGGGAACCAGCCTTACATCAGGAATTCCCTGTATAGTAAGTCAAGGACAGCCTATTTTATCTGTCCAGGGGCTTAGACATGGTCAGTCAGCTGTTTGGGATTGTCCAGGAGAGGATCCTAATCTTATTGTGGATGTGGGATGGGGTAAATTTTGAACGTCCCACTACCTTCATAAATCTTGCTGCTTGATTGTAGCATGCTTTCTCCTGGAATGAGAAAGAGAGGGATTTAATGAGATGAAAGCAGATGGCACAACTGTTAGTGCTGGTGCTAGGGTGTCCAGGGGAAGGCTGGAAAGGCTGTGCATCTCAAGAGGAGGAGTGGGCAATGCAGAGGGCATGCAGTGTTAGTAGTGAATGGGTGAAAGTGAGTGAGGAAAGGTGTCACAGTAGTGAGAACAGTAAGCATAAACCTTTGTTCAAAGAAAAACTATGGAACTGTAATTAGCCTAAATTATCTAGTCAAGTCTTTAAAATGCAGATGATAAGAACAAGCCTTGTGATTCTGGAATAGTGCTTCAGAGTTGAGGCTGACAGGTTGAAATTGTTTTTCTAACAGAAAAGACTCCACTGAGGCTAATCTCCCATCAGCAAGTCACCCTTTATTTACATGTGCACGATACATGGACTCTGACCAGCTCGCTCAGAGCCAGTCCCTAGGGCGACAAGACTCTCTGACATTCCTGTTTATATCTCTCAGCCAGGGCTCCCTGATTGGCCCAGGTTAACAGTGGCGCAGGTTAACAGCCTCAATCAGGGAACTCATATTCAATGACATCCATCTGACCAACCTCATTATAATCACTATACTAACATTTTGCTTAGGTCAAAGCTGGCATCTTTCTGTCTAATGGATTGAATGGAACAGATTTCCTATTTTTCTCAGTTCCAGTGTGCACTTCTGGATGGCTTTCAGATTCTTTGCCTTTATTTTGAGAGAAATCCAATTGCTCGTGACAGGTGAGTCAAGTTATGGTATAGAGGCTCATACATCACCACGCCTTCGTCGTCACTAACATCAAAACTTCCTCTAGAGTTGCTGCTGAGTTTAATGTGTTATCTTCTTTTTATTCATATATATAATTTGCCCCACAAAGAAAGTCTTAAGTGTTGATTATCAGATGTAGATTGTGAACACTGAGTACACTGCCCTAATTGACCCTCCGAGCCTCTGAAGCAAAGGTTTGCTCCCTCCAGACAGCTCTTCAGGCTTAGCTCAGCCCATTCCAGTGGAGACTAGTCCAAAATGTCCCATCCCAGTCCAGTCCATCCATCCCAGCCCATTCCTGTCCAGTCTCCCATCTCAGCCCAATCAAGTTCACCCAATTCTAGTCTAGCCTATTCCAGCCCAGATCAGTCCAGATGATTTCAAACAAAAAAAAATTGCTGGAGAAACTCAGCAGGTCTGGCAGTATCTGTGGTGAGAAAGCAGAATTAACATTTCATGTCAAGTGACCCTTCTTAGGGCAGCCCTGTGGCTACGCGGTTAGCACTGCTGCCTCACAGCTCCAGGGACCCAGGTTTAATTCCAGCTTTGGGTGACTGTCTGTGTGGAGTTTGCACATTCTCCCTGTGTCTGAGTGGGTTTCCTCCGGGTGCTCTGGTTTCCTCCCACAGTCCGAAGATGTGCAGGTTAGGTGGATTGGCCATTCTAAATTTTCCATTGTGTCCAGGGATGTGCAGGCAAGATGACTTATGTGTTCATCCAGCCCTGCACCTTGTTGTCTCGGATTCTCCAGCATCTGCAGTTCCTACTATCTCTTAGCAATGATAAATGTGGGTTACAGGAGAAAATGCGAGGGAGGCTGTTTGGGTGGGATGCTCTTCAGAGGGTCAGTGTGGGCCCGATGGGCCAAATGGCCTCTTTCTACATTGTAGGGATTCTTTGATTCTTCAGACCTTATACTGATTCCAGTCCAGCCCATTCCATTTCAGTCCAACCACCCATTTCAGCTCAGTTCAGTCGATTCCAGGTCAACCCGTTCCGGTTCGGTCTAATCCAACCCATTTTTGTTCCAGGCCAGTCGCACATCCCAGTCCATTCCAGTCCAGCGGATTCCATTTCAGTCTCTGTGTGCACGGATGATGTGGAGAGAGAGTCACGCGGCAGGGTGTGGTGTCTGTGCTTCCTTCTCGCAAATGTTGACCTTTTTTTGTAAGACAACACTTTGCCGTTTCAAAAGAGAGGAAATTCCCTTTGTTTGGCTGGAAATGTCAACGTGGCTTGCTCCCAATTTTTCCTTGTTTTTCTGTGTAGATTCGGGCTTCGTCACTCGAAATACGTGTCAGTGATATTTCAAGACAATAACAATTTGCGTTTATGTGGTTCCGTTCACACATCAAATAATATGTGGCAAATGGAGCTCATACATCGGGAGATGCGACCAAAGGTCAAGATATTTCTGTCAGATGTTGAAAAATAAGGATGAATACAGGAGCAAAGGGACCTTCCGTAAAAGCTAAAGAGAAGAGGAATAGTTATGAGATTTAGTCTAGGTGTAACACCTTACCGAAAAAAATGGCGGAGGGCTGAAGTTAAAGCAATTTATACAAGAACAATTCCGATGTTAGCTAAACAGGCAGAAAAGACGTGCAACCTGTAACAGATGAATGGTTTGCTGGTCCCTGCTGGAGATGTTGCTGAGGGAGCTGTTGTGGTGCAGTGGAAATGTGCCTACCTCTAACCTAGGAGACTGAGGGATTTAAATCAAAGAACAAAGAAAATTACAGCACAGGAACAGGCCCTTCGGCCCTCTAAGCCTGCGCCGATCCAGATCCTCTATCTAAACCTGTTGCCTACTTTCCAAGGATCTTCATCCCTCTGCTCCCTGCCCATTCATGTATCTGTCTAGATACATCTTAAATGACGCTATCGTGCCCGCCTCTACCACCTCTGCTGGCAACACGTTCCGGGCACCCACCACCCTCTGCGTAAAGAACTTTCCACGTATATCTCCCTTAAACTTTTCCCCTCTCACCTTGAAATCGTGACCCCTAGTAATTGAGTCCCCCACTCTGGGAAAAAGCTTCTTGCTATTCCACCCTGTCTATACCCGTCACGATTTTGTAGACCTCAATCAGGTGCCCCCCTCACCTCCATCTTTCTAATGTAAATAATCCTAATCTACTCAACCTCTCTTCATAGCTAGCGCCCTCCATACCAGGCAACATCCTGGTGAACCTCCTCTGCACCCTCTCGAAAGCATTCACATCCTTTTGGTAATGTGGCGACCAGAAGTGTACGCAGTATTGCAAATGTGGTCGAACCAAAGTCCTATACAACTGTAACATGACCTGCCAACTCTTGTACTCAATACCCCGTCCGATGAATGAAAGCATGCCATATGCCTTCTTGACCACTCTATCAACCTGCATTGCCACCTTCAGGGTACAATGGACCTGAACACCCAGATCTCTCTGTGCATCAATTTTCCCCAGGGTTTTCCATTTACCGTATAGTTCACTCTTGAATTGGGTCTTCCAAAATGCATTACCTTGCATTTGCCTGGATTGAACTCCATCTGCCATTTCTCCGCCCAACTCTCCAATCTGTCTATATTCTGCTGCATTCTCTGACAGTCCCCTTCACTGTCTGCTACTCCACCAATCTTAGTGTCATCTGCAAACTTGCTAATCAGACCATCTATACCTTCCTCCAGATCATTTATGTATATCACAAACAACAGTGGTGCCAACACGGATCCCTGTGGAACACCACTGGTCACAGTTCTCCATTTTGAGAAACTCCCTTCCACTACAACTCGGTCTCCTGTTGCCCAGCCAGTTCTCTATCCATCTAGCTCGTACACCCTGGACCCCATGCGACTTCACTTTCTTCATCAGCCTACCATGGGGAACCGTATCAAATCAATTTAAATCCAATTGATTCAATAAATCTGGAACTGAAGACTAGTATTCACCACAAGAGAATGAAACGATTGGTTTTTCACAAAAAAAATCTAGTCCAGTAATGCCTTGAAAAGAAGGAAATCTGACATACACATGATTCCAAACCCACAGAATGTGGTTGATTCTTGAAAGCCTCTAAAATGGCCTGTGTAGCCTACTTCTGTTTACGGCAGCATTATGGGTGTACCTACAGCACACAGACTACAGTGGTTCAAAAAGGCAACTCACTGCCAGCATTTCAAGGCAACTAGGAATGGGCAATAAATGCTGTTCTAGAGAGCAATAGTCCAGGTCCATTAATGAATAAAAAAGAACTTTGATGTGGAAACATGTCAAATGCCTTCTGGAAGCCAACAGGCTCCCCTATATACACAGTGTATGTTACTCCTTCAAAGAATTACAATAAATTAGTTAAATGATTTCCCTTTCACAAAACCTTGCTGGATCTTCATGATCACCTTGAGTTTTTCCAAGTCCCCAATTATAAACTTCTGAATAATCGATTCTAACACCTTTTCTGCAAAAAATGTGAAACTAACTGGCCTATAGTTTCTTGCCTCTCTCACTTTACCAGAAGTTTGCATTTTCTAATCAGATGGAAAATTTTCAAAACCTAAAGGATTTTGGAAAATTAACATGATTGCATCTACTACCTCATTAGCAACCTCTTTTAAGACTCTACAATGAAGTGCATCAGGACCCAGTGATTTATCAGTCCACAGCTCCATCAGTTTGCTCAACACCTCTTCCTCATGCAGCTTCTCCTCTAATAGGAGCAGTGCTATTGTGCCACTCTTCCAAGACTGTGGGCTGCCTGATTGGCCACAGGATACAGCTATCATCCCTAATTGGATTGCAGTCATGGATGCAATGTTGCAATTGTTCAAGTCTATAAAGCTCTCCCAGGTAGATGCCCCTCAAAGAGAGCACACTGGTGGAATCTGGCCGTGGTCCTTGATTTTTTTTAAAGTGCATATAATTTCCCTTTATAGTATGTTCGTAGTACAATACACCAGAGTGTGAGGTGAACATAGGAATTGTAGATTTTATTTGTTAGGTAAGTTACTACATTGACAGTGTGAAGGTTATGAAAACAACTTCATGCCAACAACAACAATCACCAGATGATAGTAATAGTGATTTAAATTTGTTTACAATAAAGTCAAATTAATTGAAACAATGCAGTTTATGGATTATAAATATGAACATTGATGTTTGAGTACTTCAAAGTATGTTTCAACATAAAAATGCTCACTTTTTTTCTTGTACTTGTTCAACTCTCAATTTTATTAACTTTACAAAGTACTCACTTGTTGTTCTAAATTCCTGGGTTATTAAAGGACTTTACGTAACATCCACACAATTTAATTCCAGCAAGGGCAGAAATTAACTTTACGATCATGTTTCATTATTCAACGGAAAATTGTAAAATGGTGTCTTTATTCGAAGTACTTTTCGTGGCTCTGCTTTGTTACATTTTTCCCCCTGTAGCCTCACAAGGGCGTATTTGTTGTCTGATGCTGTATCTCCCCTATTCCTTCCTGTCACATGGTTGAAAGTACCCGCAATCTGAATTTGTCATTTTCTCGTCCTTCAGGAATGACATTAATCCGTTACTGTTTTCCAAAAACTCGGTCATAAAATGATCCGTTAAATATTTGTTTCAATATTTTTGATTGCTTGACAATTTTTCATGGCGCTTTGTTCAGTTTGGAGAGACTTGCGTAATACATATCTCAGGTGCAGAAAGTCTCCGATTTTCCTCAGCTCTAGTGCCAGCTCCTTTATGGCTTTTGAATCTAAAATAAACAAATCAGTTATTGTTATCAACTTAATCTGCCACTAAATTAAGTATTATGTCTTATGTTCTTTACAGTTAGGTATTTCAAAACTGAAGACTTGAATTTTTTCAGATCATAAGAAATAGGAGCAGGAGTAGGCCCTTCAGCCCCTGAGCCTACGCCAGCCATTCAACAGGGTAAGGATTCATCTGACATCGCGGTCCACTTCCACGCCCTTTCCCTGAACCCCTTCCTCTCCCAATTGATCAAGAATCTAAATTTCAACTCATTCCACATTATTAATATCAATAAGACAGACCATGTGCAGAACGAAATCTCCACTCTGCTGCTGCTCTATGTTAACTCCAGTTTCTGCATCAGTGCCAATTTCTTCACATATTTAAGCAGTTTTACATCCTCACTAGAAACAAATTTCAGATTAGCCAAATTTAACAGTAATCCGCATTTAAATAGTTTTATTGCATTAAAATATTCAAAGGCGCATTTCAAATAGGTCCCTCAATAAACAGATGAGATAGAAAAAAACTCCATCTTATCAGTTTGGATTCCTAGTCTTCAAGAAATAACAAGAGTGTTGTATAGACATGCTATCCTAACCAAGCAGAGATTCCTGCACAAACATTTCTTAATCCTTATCACTCTTCGGAAACAAACTGCCCAAGTTAGTCATCACGGAAAGTGCAATGAAATAAATGCACGTTTAGAGAACATAATCGATAGCAATTATACTAAGCGCGACTGACACGTAATGAAATTTTAACACTCAGAAACAGAAACCTCGCCGACATAGACTGCCGAAAGCATAGTAAAGGTCTGGCCTGCTTTTGCCAATATTAGCATCGTAAACTGCAGATACGCGATATCTGACTTTCTTTTTCCAGGATGCAATGTACTTACCAGCGGGGAGATCCTGAGTGGCCGATCTTTTGAAGCTTGCCCGTGTTATTGGCTTCATCAACTTTTGCTCTGGATTACTCTGGATACAAATCAGTCAAGATTCTTCAACCGAACGGTGTAATCAGGAGCGAGAGTTCACTTTCGTCAATGGTTAGTTCGACTGCAGTCGAGTTTTTGTCATCGATGCTACGGTCTATATAAGCACCATTGAGCACGAGTGATGCATGTGGCAATCTCAGTCAATACCTATGGCTGGGAAAGCACCTCAGCCAGCGACATTTCTGGGAATTGCACTGCTTTTCAACGACTCACAGGAGGGAGAGACGTTATCATAAGACACCTGGAAACCGCCCACCCAGAAACAAAAACAAGAAGCTGGGAAATCGCAACAAGTCACGCAACAGCTGTGTGAATTTACCAGCTCAATGACCTTTCATCAGAATTAGCCATCGGTTTGGTCAGCAACATTTGCAGATGTCAACTACAAGTGACGTATGTGTCTGTGAGTTTGTGTGAATATTCAAGAAAAAGCTGAGGCACGCAAAATACAATAGAATCAAAGGAAGTTGATAGGCAGCCAATTTTGAGTGATTTTACTCTAAGTAACTCGTGGGATGTGAATGTTGTTGTTGACTGTCCATCCCAAATTGCCCTGGAGAAAATAGTATTGAACTGTCTTCTTAAATGCCAGTAAAGGACTCACAAAGGACAGTCTTGAGCTAACAAATGGGTCAGCCTGGTTAAGAACAACAGATGTCCAACACTAAAAGACACGTGATCCAGATGGTTGTTTATGAAAAACTGGTGTTTCACAGTCACTATTATGACACAAATTTTTTATTTCAAAATTATTTAATTAATTTAAATTAATTTTCCAACTACTATGTTGGGATTAGGAACTTATGCATCTGTATTATTCGTCCAGCTCTCTGGACTACTGGCCTAGTATCATACTATCAAGTAATCAGATGACTAAAACTAAACTGAACAAATGAGACAAATGGAGGAAACAATAATAGGAATACAAACATAATGGTTACAGCTTATGTGACACAGCACAGCAATTATATTAGAATCATAAAATCCCTACAGTGTGGAAAGAGGCCATTTAGCCCAGCAAATCTGCATCAACCCTCCGAAGAGCATCCCATCTATACCCAGCCCCCTACTGTATCCCCATTACCCCACATTTACCATGGCTAACCTATTTAGCCGACATATCCCTGGACGTAATGGACAATTTAACGTGACCAATTCACCTAACCTGCACATCTTTAGGCATGCAGTTCCTGGATTTCATCCCAACAACCAAGAAAGAACATTTCCAAGTCAGGAATGGACCAGACTTGAGGGGACTTCAGAAGTTATATTCACCGTTATAAACTTGTCCATTTTGGCAGTCAGGGTCACTGGGGAGAGAAATATTCTTGGAAGTACATTTAGTGAGTTGCTGCAAATAATGTCAAGTATCTAGTCACAATGAGAAATTTCAGTTTACTCCAAAATTAAATTGGCATTTGTGTTTGGTCACGACATGTTCATAAATTGAAATTGATGTGGCTCTTATTTAAGCATAATGTCATAGTGATACAGTTTCACACATAGAATGTTATTATATTCCAATTTGGTGTTGGCATTGGCATAGTGTTTCACTTTAAATGCAGTAATGTAAAATAAATCAGATCTGATGCTAATGTATAGTTGCTTAGAAACAGTGAACACTGATTGCTTAAAGCCACAATGAGAAATACAATGAGAATTGTGTTCACTGGCTCAGCAACTTGACAGAGTCAACGGTTAAGTCACATTATATGTGGAAATCTAGATCTATCCTATGATCTCCAACACAATGGAAGACATTCTTGGAAGCTTGATCATGTGACATCTACTCACATGACACATGCTCACGTGGTAAAAGTTAAATGTTACCTGCAAATTAATGTTATTGTATGGACCATATGGAGGTTAGGATCACTGCAGCTCAGTATCTTTGTTTGTATTTTCATGCCAGCACCTGTTGTGCAAGAAATTTGAGAGCCAGGAGGCCACCTGAGACAGGGTGAAGAGGAAAAAAACCCCAAGAATGGAAAAGAGGGGAAATGGAAAGTGAAGGAGTGAATCATAGAGGAGAAATCACAGATGGGAAGAATTTGATTTTATTTGAATAAAAGGATTAAATTGGACCAAAGGGTCTGTTTCTATGCTGTATGACTATGATTGCAAAGACTACGCTTGTTTTCCCTGAATATATCAGCTTGGGTGATCTAATTGAGGTATTTCAGGTGATTAATAGATTTGACAAAAAAGGCACAGAGAAACAGTTTCCTCTTAGGAGGAGTCCTTTACAAGGAATCTAAAAATGAAAGCCAAACAAATCAGGGATGATATCAGAAAGCATTTCTTCTTACAATGGAGAAATAAAGCTCTTGAGTTCAATTAAAACATTCAAAATTAAGGGTAAATGAAGATACAGTTTAGCCTTGATCTAGTTCAATGGCAGAATGTGCTCAAGTGGCTCTCCTTCTGTATATTTATTAAAAACAACTCACTTTTAACAAATCTTAGCTGGCTATTCTAGATGCTGCAGTACAATAGTTGAAGTTGCAAAAATATGACCAAAAACAAAGACAAATTATGGAATTATAATGTGGTTATGGTACATTCAAGTGGTCATGTCCATGCTGGTTCCCTACAGGAGGAACTCAGTTAATCCCATTCCCCCAACTTTTTCTCATAGTCCTACAGTTTTTGTGCTTAAGGTAAGTATGAAATTCTCCACACACTCTCAGGCTGTACACATCCGATTCAAACTATTCACGCATATAAATGTTTGTCTGTATATTACATTTCAATCTTTTGCCAATCACCATAAATCTGCTCTGGTTCTCTTGACCTTCATGACATTGGGAACTGTAGCTCCCTATTCTCTCTGCCTAGATGTCTTGTCATTTTCAAAACATTTACCAAAATACCTCTCCACCTATCTTCTCCTCTATCCATCTTCTATCCGCCTCCCCCTCTCTCCCTATTTATTTCAGAGCCCCCTTCCCCTCCCCCTCCCCCAATTCTGATGAAGGGTCTAGGCCCAAAACGTCAGCCTTCCTGCTCCTATGATGCTGCTTGGCCTGCTGTGTTCATCCAGCTCTACAACTTGTTATCCGTATAAACCTACTCTTCTACAAGGAGAGCAACCCAAGTTCTCCAAACTATTCTCAAAACTGAAGTTCCTGAAATTTGGATACAACATTGTAAATCTTTTCAGAGATAGTAGGAACTGCAGATGCTGGAGAATCCGAGACAACAAG